GACAAAGCAGAATAGAGTTTGACTGAATGCTATAGTTGAGTAGAAATGCCTATTATCAACAAGCACAGTGGCATTTAGCACATTAATAATTAACATCACCTATTTCTTATGAGTAATACAAGAACAATGAGCATTTTAGTAACCACTAGTGACTATTGGTAAAAGAGTTGATTTCTTGCCCTTGATTCACACAGGCGAACCCAAGATATGTCCTCACATAAAACTGAGAAAAGCTTACACAATAATTTCCCCATGACGGCTGATGCCGTCTCAGCCGCAAAACAATTATGGTCTTCAAAAACACAACTGTGCCGCTACTGCGCATAAACGGGACATTTGAGGAAGACCCACAAAGCAGCTCTCACTTAACTGACATAAAACAGGCTAAATATGTGCATGCATCCAAGAGTTGACCATTGGACATGGAAATACACTGGAAAGTATTGCTCTTTTGAGAGTTATTTTACAACATGCTTAAATATAGGGCTGCTTTCAAGCACATGTTTGTTGACGACTAAAATTGTGCTTAATAGGCTGAAACTGCAGACATAAGGACATTTCTTAATATATCTGGATGTTTTAAGAGATAAATTGACATTATTTCCATGTTGCATGCTTGCATAAATGAGCGCGTTCCTTCCGCTTCTCCGTTTTGCAGGCATGCAGAAATTCGATTAGGACTTAGATTGCATTAGTCACACACAGCATGCTGAGGCATAGAGATGTTGGTCATGACAGTAATCACATTACGAATCTTTTGGCCGTCAAAACAGCACACAAGTCATCGTCTTAGTGCTCACAAAATGGAGGCAGTAGGGTTGTGCATGTTTCCATGTTAACAGAGGTGGATGAACCAAAACGTACGCAGGTCACTAGGTTTGGGAATAAAGAACTAATGATGGCCGGTCACTGCAAATAAAATATACTTTATGCATTCAAAATCAGGATGTATGCATGGCTGTATGTATGTCTTTATACAGTATGTGTGTTTGTGTGGTTTCCCTTGAGATCTGCTCTTACACAACCAGACCTGGTTGAAATGAAATCATGCAAGCTGTGAAGCTTCTCTTCACATGCTGAGATGTCAATCAGGTTGACTTTAACCCTTGCGACAATTTCCTGGCTTGTCAAGCTCAGGCAAACATAATATACACAGCAAAACCACTGCATTTTAGAGATGGTTTCCATTTAAAAGGGGCTGCTTGAATTCATAAAACCATTTCCTGCACATTAGAATTTCTCTAACTGCCCAATGCTCAATTCTACAGGCAATTTAATGTGGACACACACATTTATCACGCATAACAAAACAATATCAAATACAAGAAATAAGGAAATCCTGTGCCATGACTTACAAAATGCTTCCAGGTCATTATGCCTTATTCCAGAGGAAATGGATTGTATTGACTGCAGTATTAAAGTGAATTTGAGAGAAATGTACTGTCTTATTGTATCGTTATCACCACATTCTACTTTTCTTTTCTTTTTTTGTTGATCAATACAAGCACAGTAACCTCACCCTGAATCCAACTGTCAGCAGAAATCATGTCCAGTGCATCTATTGCACTACTAACCCAAACCAACCAGCAAGCTCAAGCCAGACGGAGGTGGAAATGATGATGATGATGACGAAGATAGCAGTAAAGTGCATCTGGTAAGGAGGCTCTCAGCTCTGAGACACATCCTTCAGCAGCAGAATAAGACACTGAGCACCAGTTGTCTCAAAAAAAATCTAGTTTACTTACTAAAACCTCATTATATGTCTGTTCCACTATAGTGTGGATTAAAAAATAACAAGTTTAAAAAAAAAATTCTCTGTAATTTACCAAATTTCCAAAAGAAAATGAATATTCAATGCAAAATAAAAGGCGGGGCTTGATTTCATTCATCACAAAGAAAGAAAGAAATATCAGTAAATTTTTACGGCACTATTTTAAACTAAACTACAAACATTACAAGTTTAAAAAAAAAATTCTCTGTAATTTACCAAATTTCCAAAAGAAAATGAATATTCAATGCAAAATAAAAGGCGGGGCTTGATTTCATTCATCACAAAGAAAGAAAGAAAGAAATATCAGTAAATTTTTACGGCACTATTTTAAACTAAACTACAAACATTACTGAATGTGGCATTTAAATTGTCATTATCTTCATGCTTAATTAATCCTTAAATCCAAAAGCTGTGGTTTTATTTATTTAGAAGGAGTTTTAGAGCACGCGATTGGATATTTGGTTTGATAAAGCTCTTATCAACACAAGAAAGAAGCATCTGTCAAGTTCCTTAAGTATTTAGAAGACACGTTTGGGGTTTTCCATTTGATCTTAGTAGTGATTCTCTTAACCCTCTGCTGGTGGCTCTCAACTGTCACTGTCTGATACCAAAGGTGTCTAAACTCTTAAGCAGAATGTTTCGTTATTACCAAGTGGAGATCTAATTTGTATAATTATAAAGATATGGCTTGACTTGCCAGTTATACTGATTCCCCCAACCTTCTCTCTATCATTTCCAGTCTCGTCTCTGACTATAGTTATCATTCAAATGGTAAAAATGTCAAAAGTAAAACAGAAAGAACAAACATTTTGCATTGGGCAGTACTTTATATTCATGGAACAATCACTCTTAACAACCAGTGTCACAACAGCACTGACTGGAGGAACAGAGTCTTGTGTAATTGAGTTTGTGTTGTGCAGTCAAAAGCAGAGGAAGGAGACAAGCAGCCCTAATGCATTCAGTCACACATGCACAACACAGCGTTTCAAACCCTGGAGGGAAGCTTTGAAAACCTTTGCCTGCACAGCTAACCCCGATGGGCAGCACAAGCTAAAGGAATCAACAGTAATGTACAGCGGTCAAGAGGTTGAAAAGAATATCAAATCCAGATCATCCGTACAATATAAGACCATTTTTTTTCCAATTCTGCCCACCCCCACCCCTCAGCAGGTGCCATGCGGCAAGGTCAAAATAAGCTCCAGGGAAGGAGAGGAAATGAGTATAGACTGAATTCCATTTTCTCATATCTCAACTCAATGGATTCACTTCACACCACATCTCTCTGGCCACCCTAACATTAAAAAAGCTAGGCTATTGCTCAGTGTCAGATTGTTAATAATCATGCTCAAATCATCACTTGTGTTAAATATGCATTAAAGTACCATGCACGGCAACATAGCTGACCAATCCTGCAGCGCAAAGGTAAATAGCTAATAAGTCACCGCACTGTTCATGTATTCTTAAATAAAAACAAAACACACAATGTTCATGTGTCGGTGCCATCTCATTCTGAGTCACTGACCTTCTCAAAGAGTGTGACACCCCTATTATTCTCTTTTGAAGTCCCCCGGTAACAGAAAGAGGGAGAGGGAAGGGGAGAGAGGAAAAGAGAGGGGGACCATCTGTCAACTGCCCCAGAGATCAATGGCACCAGCGGTAAGGCTAAATATGTTGCCCACCATGACTTGAAAACAATTCAACCCAGCGAGGTTTATTTTTAAGTTCCTGCTACGACATCAAGCATCCTTTATTATACTGCTTCTATTGTGAGCTTGCTCACGTTATCTACAATAATGCATACTGAACTGAGACGTATCATTGATGTAGAACTGGTAACATATCTAGAAAATATAAGTAAATAATCCTAGCCATCCAAAACAGCTAATGCAGAGTTCACACTGCATAATTTTCAAAGATCACCATTGTTTTCACACTGCACGACTATCAGGGGTATCATTCAGTTGCTGCTGCATTCACATTGCATGATGGATCGGTGACAGGAGGTTACACAACGCATGACTTACAATAGGAAGAATCGCCGACAACTCTGTCTACGTTACACAACCAAACGCACGCGAGAAGTGATAAGGAAATAGCGCAAGATCACGCTGATATGTGGTCTGTAAAGTCCTCCCTGAACACACAATAACAAAGACGACTTCCTTTTTAACAACATCTGGCTGGAAAAATTTTATATACACAAATCTAAGTACTTGAAAGTGAAACCAACGGTTTGTGCATTTTAATGAGCTTATTTCTTATACAAAAGCCCTCAAAGTGATGAAAAAGAAAAATGCAATAGCCTAAATCTTTTATCCTTTATAGAAGAATATAATTTATTTATATATATATATATATATATATATATATATATATATATGCACCAGTTTTGTATATTATAATGCAAAAATGTGATGATATTGCCACGTTGTTTGTACATGGTTAATTGCTTAATAAAAAAATAAAATAAAAAATGAAAAAAAAGTCCTCCCCAAGCTTCCCACTGCCCTGTATCTTGTTATCTCATTGGCTGTAGGTCATCGCCAATGTATTTTTCAGTCAGAACTCATTTCACACAGCAGGATTCTGAATTGCCGACAGGTCCAGATATTTAGCATGGCAAATATTTCACAGGCATTGGCGATTCTCTCAGATCGCGTCTTTGATAATTTACACTGCGCGTGAGCGAGCGAATTTGCCTCCGATTTCAAAAATTTGTCTGCAATTTCGTAAAACCTGTCGGCGAGTGAATATCAGGGTTAAAATCGTGCAGCGTGAACTCACCATAAGGTGGCATATTCTGGAGATTAGGGCAGTGTGTCAACTCTGCTACAATGGTAAGACAAATATACTCCTGGATCAACCCCCTTCCCCCCGATTGGAGCGCAGATTGGTCTCACCCAATACATGCACAGATGCAAGACATGAGCTTGCAATGTAAACAAAAAGGATGCAGAGATTGTTCAATGAAACCATGCAGTGTTTGAAATAAAGCAACATTCATAATCATAAACATGCAGATGCAGCTTCAAGCCCAGAATAGATATATGAATAAAGTATGCATAGTTATGTGAGCAGCACAGGATGAATAAGAAATACAAAGCGAGGTGGTTGCTAAGCAAGAGCAGGGCTGGGTTGAACTATGGAAGTGATGCTGGATTCGTCAGCCAGGCAGCATTGCTCATTCTTTGGCATTGCAAGCGTATTAGTGGATCGTGTTATTACTTACCCAACATCTGACTGAAGAGAAGCTGCTCCAGGTCCCCAAGTACCGTTACAACCAGTTCAGGGTCCACCTTTAGGAAGGTCTTGTCCCCTTCCTCTGGTTCTGGTGCATCTTTGCCCCCTCCGCCCCCTCCTGGGGTGGCTGCCCCAGAGGTGCCACTTAAAGTTTTCTTGCCATTAGCTTTAGCCTTGCTGGACAAGATCTCATCATCTGACTTGCCGTCATCTGCCAGCTCTTGAGCCTTGCTGATGGGTTTGACCTCAGCGTAAGGACCCTTTGGTATCCGACTGGGTTTGCCCAGTTTGGAAGGTGGGTTAAAGGGTTTTGGCTTTCCCTGAAACAGTGAATGCTCTGACTTGGAAAGGTTCTTGGAAAGTGGGATACTCTTGCCTGTACCCACTCCGGCATCTTTGAGCTTGCCGGACTTGTTCTGACCTGCCCCTGGCTTTTCGATGTCATCCGACCACTTGGGCTGGTACAGGTGCATCTTCTTCTCGGCGTCCGTAAGCACACATAAATTGGTCAATGACTTTTGCTTGCGCAGGTTACTAGGCACTGGAAGACGACCCTCTGAGTTTCCCGCTCGGTAGACCTTTAGCTCAGCCCGAGGAGTAGCCTGTGGGAGCCCTGACTTGCCCCTTTTCGCAGCCATGCCCCCAACTCCGTTGGCTCCCGCCTGGCCCTGGTGGGTCTTGGCTTTGGACGTTTTGTCAGCTTCAGTCTCGAGATCTACTCCTTGTCCTCTTGGGCTACCCCCAAGCATTCCTCCTGCGTGAAACCATGTAAAAGCATCAGTGAGTCAAATGGTTTTACAATTGAGCAAAAGAAGAGACAAGGTGCAAGGTCTGCAAGCTCTGTTGCTTGCTGCCAAATCCTTATCACAGTGAGAACTATCTCTCCAATAACACATGCAGAAAGACCAGTCGCTAGATCCTGTATTGAAGAGGTAATCCGTATGCCTGGTGTCTTTAGCATGTAAATCCAGCATCTGGCTCCTCTCAGTTAGACTGCCTCAGCTGCAGCTGCTCTAGTGCTACCCAGTCACTCATTTTCTCTCTCTTTCTTTCTCTCACCTCTCTCCTCTCTTCAGCAGAGTGTCTCGCTGCTTTGCTGTGCAGCAGCAGAATGACAGAGAAGACAGACGCAGGAACGGCCCCTCCCCTTGCTCCCCCGCGCTCATTCAACGACACACACCCTCCTCCCCCTACTCTTCTGGCTCTCTCCTTTCCTCTTTCTCTCTCCAATATTCCCACTCTAAAGATACTATACTGCTCCCCTGCACAAGTGTTACAGTATGAGGGGCCTGTGATAAATTACAGTGTCTTTTTAAACAGTTGCCTGCCAGCATGCTTCCTCTGCTGGCCCTCTTTGGTTCACTAAAGTGCTCTGTTATCATAAAACCAATAATGTTTTCACTGCAAGGATATAATCACCAGTAACATCATGCTGTCAGACTTGTATTCAATTTAAAAATTTAACTTAAATGACTTTAGGATACTCTAGAAGCTTTGGGAAAAAAATGTTTATTGTTCATTGTCTAAATTAATCTTTCTAATGTTTCTAATGGATTTGACTTGAAGCATTAAGTTGCACAATGTGGCAGAAATCACCCATTTACATAACTAAATTTGGTCAGACCTTCTGGTGTGAAATCAAAACTTATTTTTTCCCCTTATTCTTTATCATATCATACCAGGGAAACCAAGTTTGCCAGGACAGTCACTGGTGGACTACATGACACTTCAGGCTATGACAAATGTACAGACAATTAGGCCTTGATTCTGATTCTGATCAGCCACACTGAATTACCCTCAAGAAGAAAGGATTGAGCTTTGGAAGGAACAGCCTCCATTCTGTCAGAGGATGGACCTAATTTTTCACCAGCTTTGGGAAGGGGATGTCACAACAATATGATGCACATAAGACTGCACACAGTTCCTTTCTCTGAAGCCGAAAGGGATCTAGGCATGTTTGAATCAATTTTGAGAGTGCTCTACTTAGTTCTGTCATTTCAACTCAATAAGGCCAAGCTCTACCAAACAGACTATCCAAGTGGAAATAACTGACTTCCTACAAAATCTTAGCTCAAGGACACACTGTTGATAAAGCAGGATTAAGAGGAAAAACTCAATGTAGTACTCTTTCTGCATTATTAGTAGATTTGAAGGCACTACTATTGCGCTTTAAGATAAACTCAAATATGTCTCAACATGTATCTGTCATTGAATCAATAGGCTCAAGTAGAGTACATTACCGTATACATTAATATGCTGGTGTTAATACTTCAGTTTCTTCCCATCATGCACTTGATGCACTAATTCCTGATGGCAACTTAAAACACAGTACTGAACAGAGTCGTTAAGAAAATCGTTGAACCAACGTCTACGAAAGTTCCGGAAATATCTCTGCAGATATCCAAATCAGTCAGGAAATCCAAAGGGCAAACGGACATATTAAAATGCAGCAAATAGCTTTAAATGAAAATACTGTTGAACCGTTATGAGCACACTCTAAAAAATGCTGGGTTGTTTCAACCCAATGTTGGGTCAAATATGGACTAACCCAACTGTTGGGTTAAATTTTGGTTACATTTTTAAATTAACTTTTTAACCCAACATTGGGTTGAAACAACCCAGCATTTTTTAGAGTGCAGTATTCAAAAATATCTAATTTGCATACCACTGGTCAGTCAGTTATTTTTATGACAATTTGTTTCCAAGACCTTACTGAAGACCACCAAAGCATTTAAAAAATAAACTACTTTTCCACCATATTTTCTGAAGAAATTTCTACCAAAATGGTCTGGCTGGTTTTAGCATATGGCTATGCAGTTTCAATGTTTTGGGTAGTTGCTTACTCAAAAAGCCCACCACAATGATACTTTGGTCTCTAAATATGGCTTTAGTTAAGATATTCTTTTTTTTTTCATCAAAACTAGCAACACATGATTTAAAGTATCTTTTAAGTCCATCTTGCGAACAGTTCAGGACGAGTTACAAAAAGAGTTTACACCAAATGTGTTAACCTCTCTTCATATTTCTAATATCAGTCTTTATACAAGGAAGCAAACAGATCTAAACCAGCAGCCTAGTCCAAAGTTCCTCCCAGTAGACACATTAATGTCAAACCAGACATAAAGTGGAAGGAATAGCGCACAGAGCTGGATCTGTTCATGGGGGAGCCCTTGCTTATAAACAGCACTCTGTTTTGAACATGGGCTCAGGATAGCTCCACTCACGTAAAATTTACCACAGGCCGCCACCTCGTTTCTCGCTCATGGGACTTCAACACTGAGCCGACTGTCTGGTGCTGACGACCCAGACACCATTGCAAAATTGCTGGACAAACTTCAGAGTTACTTGAAATTTAGCCTGAGTCAAATATTCAAAGTGCAATTATTTGTCCCATTTGTCATTTTGATAAGTTTCTGAAGAGACTACTGTACAAAAAGTATCTTGTCTAACATGTATCAAATTATTTTAAGTGGAAGGAGTAATATAAACCTGTCTTCTATCTACTAAAATGTGAATTAAATTGATAAAATAAAATATTATCATTAGATATATTAAAATTAGCTGTTAAAATATTATTTAAAATACATCTTCAATTTATTTATAAATATTTATAAAAATATTTACAGGAGAAGTTTTGGTATTCCATGTTGACCTTGGTGTTTGCATTTGTCTTTTTTTAAGTTCAAATACAATTTTATTTGTTCTACTTTAAAAATTACACATTTATTTCGGTGTTGTACTTGCCATGTTTTTAATTTAGAAAATTCTGAGTGAAAATAGTTTCAAAGTAAATCCTACACCTTTTTTTTTCAGTGTATTTTTATGCCTTGATATATACTGCAAATTATCTATAGGGACAATAAAGATACCCACAACTAAAAACAATTTTCCAGCACAAGACTGCACTAGAAGCTTTACGGAATAATTTCATAAAATGTATTTGATAATAAAAGTAGCTTATCATTGTTACCTAAACTCTCTAAAGCTCACAACATATGGAAGCAATATCACAAGGAAAGGAAACAAAAACAATGCTTTATGAGGTGATAATATTATGCTGTCTAAAATTTCCATAACACTCGGTTGAATAAATTTATGTTTACAGTTTCTCAGTTGTTAAACCTTTCTTAAAAAGGAAAAAGTCTATCACTAATGGCTAAACTACATCACACTCGAGTATGACTCAGTCCAAGGGCCAAGCTTTCCAAACAAAGCCACAGAGACCAGAGGAACTTGGAGGAAATCCTCTTTATAAGCCAGACTAAAGCTGGACCATAGATTCATGGCTTCTAATGCACTGGCTACCTACTCATGTGTTCTCATACGGCCGTGTGTCTTTGAGGAGAACTCCTGTAATATCCTACACGTACTACTACTCCCTCACATCATTTCATGTCTATAAGAGATGACTATGATAGGAAATAGCACCATTTCTCTCTACTCTCCCACTCAGCAGAGTAAAGTGTTAACTGATCATGCCATGGGTCTGCTATCTGTTTTCAAATAAACTACGATGTTCTACTGAATTCAAAAGTACAAGATGACCTTAGAGGAAAACACTCCCGCAGGCTGTCAGGCAATGTTCTGAGCCAGAAACCAGTTCCCTTTCCAAGACAGCTGCAATACAATCATATAATTGTAGACTTGTATGTAAATATATATTACGGATTATTAAAGAAGCCTTTGTGTGTCCTTATGTCACTCAGTAGCATAAATTGGAAGTGATGTTAATGGCTAATCATATCCGTCACTGAAGCATTCTTGATCTTGCTTTAGCAAACAGAGGAAATTCCCATCCGTGCATGCGAGTCCTAATGAATAATCTGTCTCTTTACTGTGTTTGTTTAGCCACATTTTGTAAGACTAGGAAGCATCACTGTAGCGTTTTTATCTGATCAACCTGATATAACGTCTCCCGATGGACCCTTTTAACAAATTACCGCTGTGATTACTAGTGAATGATTTAAAAGGATGGCAGAACTCTTGTTATCAGACTTGGTGCAATTTAAAAGCATTAATGATCTATAAGAGGTCTGGATTGAAATGGCTTTGTTTCTGCAGGCCAGTGAAGTGACGTATGCAGCAAAAAGGAAAAAGCTAGTCTAGACCCACCCAGAAGACCATAGCAATCACACAGCCAGATGTTATTGTCAACATAAACTATTTTCATTATTTAAAACAAAGCTGAATAATATAACATAAATGTCTAATATAAATATTAGAAGAAAAATGTAAATGAAAAAAAAAATGTAAATGAAAATGAAAATCTTGCCTTGCCAACTAGACTGCAAAAATGTTTTTTTTTTTTTTTTTTTTTAAAGCTGTACATAAAACATATTATTGGAGTACGTTTTACAAGAAAATACTATATCAGTCTCTCTGCTTAATTTGATGTTTAATTCAGTGTTACTTGTTTCTTTGTAATTATATGTTACATTTATAAGTCATTTCTTACACCTATTTTTTTGTTTAAAGTAGTTCTTGTTATCAGACTTGGTGCAATTTAAAAGCATTAATGATCTATAAGAGGTCTGGATTGAAATGGCTTTGTTTCTGCAGGCCAGTGAAGTGATGTATGCAGCAAAAAGGAAAAAGCTAGTCTAGACCCACCCAGAAGACCATAGCAATCACACAGCCAGATGTTATTGTCAACATAAACTATTTTCATTATTTAAAACAAAGCTGAATAATATAACATAAATGTCTAATATAAATATTAGAAGAAAAATTTAAATGAAAAAAAAATGTAAATGA